TTTTTTTTTTTTTTCTTTTGCTTGGTACCGCGTTACGAACTAGTTCAGGATATTAGTGCAATAAACGGGAGGAGTAAGAGAGTCAGAGACGTTTCGCAATGCGTCGCGGATGGAGAGTAGCTGTAAGATCCAAAGACGATTGTTTCCGGTTGTAGCTCGAGATCTACGAAGGATCCCTCTCCTTTAACTTCCTGAACGATACGAGCTCAGTAAGTAATATATCACGTAAAGTTTTAAACGAGGTTGAAAATCGCGTTTCTTTTTTTTTTTTCTTATTTCGCGCGCGTTCGAAGAGAGCGACCGACAACACACCGGAAGACGTACAAGTGACAAAATACGTAGACAGTCTCACTTTCGACTCGGTCTTTGAACTTGGAACACGGAAATTTACTACGCTCGCGTTTTTAATCGTTCAGAATTCCAAGTCGAAGGAAGGTATTAGCTTGCAAGCCGCTGTACGATACGTAACACAGTTCCATCGAAGTAATAAAATGGTGAAAAGCTGCGAATCAAAAGTTCAACTTCAATCCAGTGGATATCAGTCGATCTACGATATTTTCAATACCTGGGACAGTCCCGACTGAATCTTAACGCGATGATCGCTGTTACGAAAAATCGAGAACGTTTCTCCGAATCACGCGTTCCGAGCAACCGGTAGCCATGGGATATTGAATTGACGCGATTGGAGCGAGACATTCGCTCGAATTAATCAGTGGACTTTTGAATGCAGCAGACTAACTGTTATCACGACGAAATGAATTGGTACAAAACCGCGAAAGGTCAGTGGCCCGTGCCGGCCGAGGCGATTCCCACCCCTCCTCTCCCCCTACCCCGTGTAAACTGGACTTGTATTCGAAATACAATTAGCATAATTGTTTGATAATCATGTACCTCGGATAGACAATGCTAAAAAAAAAGAAGAAAAGTGAAAAAAAAGAAAGAACACGTCTACTGTACGTTTTACGGATGACACTTGTCACTCGTTCGAAACGTAGACGTGATATCAAACGAGGAGTAACAAACGCGAACGACCGTGTGAACGATTATTCGATTAATTATCGAACAGACGTCGAGCGTCAAGTGTCCCGTTTCCAACCAGGTGGAATTCTTCCAGAATTTGTTAGCGAGTCGCTCGATCGGCACTGATCGAGCTTGTTGGCGACGCGAACCTTCAGAGACCTTAGGATCAATATTTCTTGTAGCATAGAGATCTTCGAAGAGATCCGGCGAGAGGAGACGCATTTCGACATAAACAATATTCTGCAGTATTAATACGTTAAGGTGAAGAATTGTGCATAAAGTTACGTAATAAACGATTGCGGACACGATCTCTTGGAAGCGGACTGGCTAGATCGCTTGTCGTTGGAATCGATGAGTTCAGCTCGATCGATCTTACGTTGACGCATTACGATCGCGCTGAAAAATTTCGTTTTCATCGAAGAACGTGGAGAAACATCAAACGTAATTTTCCTTCCTACCGGTTCAACGACGTCGATGTCTGTATAAAGCGTAATTTCATCCTACCAGCTACTAACGTGTTGCGCCTACGTATATATAAAAAGATTGATGTAGATATAAAAATAACAAGATCTTTCAGGTATTACAATTTTCAAGAAAACCTTCTCCCTCACTTCCTTCGTTTCAATTAAACGCACGCGTTCCGTTTTATCCGTCAAGCTACTCGATTCCAACGAGTAAGGTATTCACGTGACGACAAATTCATCTGCCAGTCAGCTTTCACAAAGCGACGTTAAGGAAAACCAAGTAGAGGGTGAAGAAAGAACGTAGACAGTTACCCACCCCCGAATGTCTATTTGTATATATACCTGCTCGTGATGAAATAAAATTTGATGTACATATTTAATCATACCACACGATTCGTTTGAACAGACGTTTCCCCGCCATTGGCTTGGCGACTGGTTCGCTCGAGAAAAACCACGAAGCAAGCGAGGAAACTCGCTTTGGATCGCAACGAAATTGCACGTTTTTGCGAGGAACCCTTGATGAACTGTCCCCTTTCCCTTCCATTCGTATCGGTTCCTCTTTTTTTTTTTCCAGAGCGGATCGATCGATCGGTCCTCGCTCGGTTCTCCTTTTTCTGCGACTGCTCCGAAGGACTCTGTCCGCTCCGATCGATCGTTTCGTTCGATGGACACGCGTTAATAACGCGCGAAGGAGAAAAGGCGGGACGAGTTTCAACAGAGGAGCGGGAAAAAGGGGAGAAGGGAGAGGTACCACGGATTTTTAATTGTTCGGGCGCGCGGCCGCGCGTATTTGTTAAAGAATTAGCATTTCAAAGAACGATTTCAATTAAGGCTTAATTAATTTCGCGGAGAACGCCGAGCCAAGTTGGCGCCGCGCGGCTCATTGTTCGCCTTACTTTCGACTTAATTGAAATCGAAGAACCGCCCCGGTGAACTCCAGCGGAAGCCAGCGAATTTCGTGGAGAGCGCAAAAAGTCGCGAAAGTCGAAAGGCTCATCAAAGATTAATGTTTCGATTCGTTAAATGCTTCCACGCTTCTTTTTTCGCCGAACGAAGAACTAGCTTTGCTAGTCAGTTTTAATTGTGGTATCATTTGAAAATCATTGTACACAGGATTAAATCTGCCCCTCAAAAATGAGGGATTTATAGTAAACTTGAAATCGAAGTAAAACGTTTAGGTTCCGAACGCCATCGAGTCGCTGTCCGACATCTCCGATTAATAAACTACCAAAACCGAGTCCGCGTGATCCCGACAGTATCCTCAAACCACCGGGCGACGTAGAGTCATAATAGAGAAACGCGCCGCCGTAATTTATCTATCATGCACACGCTACAAAGGATCAACCCTCCTTTGAAATAAAAAAAAAAGAAGCAAAGAGAGAGAGAGAAAATGATGGAAAAAAAATAAGGAACAAAAAAGTGAAAGCAGAAAATCTGCAAAACTGCATAAATCAACAATGAGGCGCGCCCTGGCTGGTTATCTTTTTCGAGAGAGGGTGACTGGGGGGAGGAAGCGGGGACGGGTGCGGTGACGGGGCGTGAAAGGATTCGACGTTAACAGCACCAACAACGCCGGCTCGCTGAAACAATGGTGCTGAATGGTCCCTGAACGATTAGGTATTCCAATCGTCGCGTTAGGGGTCGCTGTGAAGTGTGGCAGCAAAAGTGAGGTAGAAAGACAGAGAGAGAGAAAGTGAGAGAATATGTGTGTGCGCGCGCGCGTGTGTGTGT